AAATTATATTCATTAATTGAAAAGGGCCGAATCGAGCTCCCATGGTCGCGAACTCATGGTCTGTGTTGCTTTGGTCTTTTCGGGTTCCACCCATTCTGACAATCAGCTGACGCGTCAGCTGATGATCTTTCTACTGGTTCCCTGAACCGGTCCCCTCTTCTTCACGACAGCATAACTATATAAGAAGCCTAGAGCTTATAGGCTGGTTCTTAGGTGCAACATTTATGCCAAGTGGGTTCCACTGAAGACCCGTCATGTACTGAGATCGATAAATCTTTCAAGGCTCAAGAGATCCTCATGTTGACGTGGTGTGGAAGCTTGGAATGGGAACTGCCAACTCAATCTCTAGTGGTCACGGTAGCGATTTGGCTATGGTCATGAACTAGTGACTGGCGTGTCGCAGATTGGAGTCCAGGGGCCACTGAAGACCAATTACTTAGGGTTGCTGCTGCATATTAAATCTGTCGACAATCAATGACCTACCGTGGGTGGGGTGCCCTTACAGGTGTTGTCCTCGTCACTTAACCGAGGTTTGAAAGTTCTAGTATGTGAATATTAATATCGTACCATTCAGCTACTCGAGGGCTTTAGGCAACGGACTTCGAAATTTTACACCATGGTCAATTGTCGAGGACGAAATTTAAGCTGGAACCTCCTCTCATAACTTCTACACTACATCAACTGGAGAACATTTGATCTTCGACAGATTTGACTTTCGACCCTACATGGTGTCTTAGCGGTTTTAGGTTCCGTTACATCGTCCACTAGACCACATCTGTACTAGAAATTCCGAGGTCTGTTGCTTGGTGTAGTGTAGTAGTTAGGAGAGGGGGTGCCAGCTCAAGTGACGTCCACGTCACTTGACCATGGTTCAAAATTACGTGGTCCGTCGCCAAAAGCCCTCGTGTAGCTGAACAGTGCGACGTTAATACCCAATCAATCAACCGAGGTCTGTTGCTAATAGCCCTAGTTTTGTTTTATAGTGTGACGTTAGTACAATTTTTTCACTCATGACTTCTCACTCTCATCACTTGTTTGTGGTCAAAATTCTGAACCCTCCAGTTATTTCGAAGAATATAATTTTAACAATTAATTAATCGCGCGATCAGAAGAAAATTATACATTCCATAACATTAAAAATAAATCCAAGAATTCAAAATGGCCAACGGATTAGTACCTTAACATATGGATTTACTAATTCAAGCTGGTAGAAGAGGAGAAACTTTCAATATTAAACTGCGCAGAAAACAGCGAAATTCCTTCGGAAACTACACCATTACAAATGACCCAAACCAGTGTTAAATCTCCCTAACCCTGTATACGAGTGACTTCACTTCAAATCTCGACCGAGGAACGAGCCTCCCAACAGACGAAATCCTTCACACGCTCAGATGAAACGATTCACTCCATTAATCAGAAGGAAAGCACGGAAACAATGGCAGCAGTTTCGATTCGAAGTTTACTGTAGATTTGTGTCACAAATTCTCAGTCGATAGCGATCGACGCAGCTGTCGAGATTATCGGTGATGTGGCTTTGATTGTTAAGACTGAGGTTGAGAGTATTTCGAGTCGCCTTATCTGAGAAATTTGTGTCGCCAGATAAAGGTTTGGGGATCTTAAGGGTATGAATAAATGACGATGCGTTGTTGTGAGTGGATTGGCGATGCGTAGTTACACTCATTTGTGAATAGATAACGAACTGTTGTGTGTAGTAATTTAAGCATCAAATTAATTCTATGAGTAATAAGTCATTCAGTGAAATTTTGAATAACTTTTCCGTAGAACATTTTATGGTCATGTATTAAATTAATTCGAATATTTTATAAATAGAAGTTTAAAAAAAATCATCAACTGAGAAAAAATATTGAAAAATTGACTTAAATAGGATGAACTAAGTCTTGCTCGGATTATAAATATTTATTGTGCTGAAACTAATATAATTAGACATATGCTGTTTTCAATATATTGCAAGCATGACAGTAGAAAGTCCCGAAAACTCGGCACTAGATAATTCGGCAGTCGGATAATTCATCCACACACTAGCGAGTCGAAAAAACTTGACCGAAGTGAAAATATCAGAAAATAGTGAAAACGTTAACGTTGAGGACATAGTAGAAACCTCAAAACGTATCGCATAGTGAGGGACTAAAAGCTATCGAAAATAACCTTCAGTATTTTGAACAATGTGCATCAGAAATGGACTTACTGTTCTTTCGCGTCGTCTTCGTGAGCAATCAGGAAAACCCAAGAGTGCAATACGGTTGACAGCAGGACATGGAGAGTGAGTCCGTTACCTTGGCCACTAGGCTACCGCGACCCCACGGACTCGTGGTAGGTATGTCATGAGTTCGAGCTTAGTACCACTGAAGACCCACTGTGCAGAGGTCGATGTACTTTAAATATGTCAAAGCAAAAACGTTCTCGTGTTGAAATGGTGCGGAAGTTAGGAGAGAGGGGTGCCAGCTCAGGTGTCATACTCGTCACTTGATAAAGGTTCAAAATTACGAGGTCCGTCACCAATAGCTCTCTTCCGACTTTATAGCGCGACGTATATATAACTACCAATCACTTTCTCACACATACGTTCGAAAATCAAGTAACAATCGCATAATTATCGAAAACTTTTTAAATTGTCATACTAGTTTGGGATGAATTACATTTAACCACAGCAATTTAACACTTTATTAATGCACTACTCACCGTATGATACGCACGCATATATATGATACGAATTTCAAACCCAAGGCCCCGGGCAACAGAGCCGCCAATCTCCGTATTAGATAGAAGGAAATGTATTATATTTTCCGCGCCAATGCACCTTGATATCGCAGTGAGTTTTAACCCGGTGTTGGCGGGACTCACGGCCGCGAGAATTGATGGAAGGCAATTAAATGGCATTGAAATTTAATCTAAATATTGTAATGAACAGAAGGCTGTCTGTGTTGGAGGGAGTTTACACAGCGGTAAAGCGGTGCCTTACGATTGAAATTAATAAACGAAGTAGGCAGCACCCTCTGGTGGATGTAAAAGGGGTTCATTAAGTTGCAAACTCCTTTCGAGAAGTAATGTGTACGAAATGAATATATAAGAGTAGCTTAGGTTACTTTCAAATGGGCGGATAATCGTGTGCTCCTTTATAAACTGCCATATAGGTTTGGAATATAAATTTTATATAGTTACATGCAGTAATTGATATCATGCATGAAACATTAACATTTTATGGACCTTAACTTTTCAAGTATTTTGTTTGAACACGCATTAAAACATCAAGCTTCCGATTATATATATATATATATATATATATATATATATATATATAT